ATATTATTTTTAAAATTTCAAATTATTTTTCTTATATATAAAAAAATTAACTACTTGTCATTACAAAAGTTACTTAACTTCTGACTCTAAACTTATGCCACATAATGAAATCCATCATTTTTACTGAAAAAAGAAAAAGAAACTCTTCTTTCCTTAAAAAAAAGGGGGAAAATCTACAAAAGTTACTTACTCCTCTATAAAACAAAAGATAGAAAAATTAGTGAATATAAATTTGGAGCAAAATTCTCTACATAATGAGGCAGAAACCACTAGTTAAGATAAAATTTTGAATAAAAAGATATTATTATTTTAGAGTAATTATTAAGAAAATAATTAATACACTTTTTAATTTAATACACTCACTACCTTGGTTTTACTATTAACTATTAAACCCTACAATTTTAAGTTGTTTTACGTTTAATTTAAATTTAAAAATAATATTTTTTAATAAATATATTGTAAGATATTAAATTAAAAAAATATTAATCATTGTTCTAGTTACTATCATTAACCTTTTAAATTTAAATTTTTGTACAACTAATGAGATATTTAAAAGAAAAAGATTATCGACATCAAATAACTCACTGAGCAGATCGTATATAAGTACATATCGAAATAACTATGTGGTTTTCTTTGTTATCATTCATCGATCCTTACTATTTAATTTTCTCGCACTACTGGAAAACCAGGCATAAACGGTAAGAACATATTCGACAAAAATATTGTCGAATATGCTTGATTGTCGATTATAATCAATTTTTTCTTTCTTATTCGATAGAATACATATTCGACAAAAAGATTGTCGAATATGTATAATTGACAGCCTAATGTTGTCAAATATGTAGGAAACGACGACGTTTCCTTAATATATTCGACGGCATTGCTGTTGAATACACCCGTTGATTAACCCCCCCGACTCCCCTTTCTTTCCCCATTTCTTCTTCTTCCTCTACGGTGATCTGGTTCGTTTTCTCTGGTGCTGTTCTTGCCGTTGCTGCCGGTATTCTTGCTTCTTGCCGTCAAGCCCCCTGCTATCGGAATATCTCGCCGATTACGTTGATGGTGAGTTGGCCCTTCTCTTGCTCGATGATCTGATTTTTTATTTTTATTTTCCTTGGATTTACAGTCGACATTTGCATATTTCCTTGTAGATCTGTGCCTTTTGGTCCAAGATCCATCACCTCTAAGCCACCATGCGCCTCCATTGTGCCTTTTGTAAGTTGCAGCACTCTCTGTGTGTGTTTTTTTTTTTTTTTCGTTTTGTTGTTGTTTCTTTCCTTGTTTTTTCCTTGGATTTGAGTTTACAATACCCCAATTTTGTTTTTTGTAGGTCAAAATCCAGCTTTTATCGCCTTCATTGCCTCCACAACATTACCGTCCCCATTGGCAAAGGTAATTGAGATTATTTTGTCTTATTTGTAGATTAGTGTAGATTATTACTATTATTGCATGAATTGTCAGTAAATTGCTGTTATTTCTTTCAAGTTTTTGCGATTGAAATTTGTACGTTAATTACTTGCTTGAAGAGGTTTTTTTTAGTAAATTTGTATATACAAAGTTATAGATTTTAAATTATTAAATTTGAGATTAAGATTGAGATTGATATTAAGATTGAGGTCTAAATATCTTGAAATAGAGTGATATTTATATTGAATTTCTATAGTTACAAATTTGTTATTTATTTCAAATTAGCTCAATATGAGAGATTGATATTGAGATTGGGATGTGCATTATTATTGAACTAAAATGATATTTAGATTGAATTTTTATATATCAAATTGTTTATTTCAAATTATTGAGATTAAAATTGGTATGGTAATTAAACTAAAGTACTATTTATATTTAATATATATTTATAAAGTTACTAAATTATTTATATTGAGATTAATATATGTATGATTGTTGAAATATAATAGTATTTTTATATATTG